GTGCTTTAACCCGCTGCGCCACCAGGGAGGGCCGAAAAATAAACTTTTTAATAAAAAAAAATAATGGTGCTTCTTGAAGAACTGAAGTTTCATTATTTTAAGTAGTTGGTGTATATATCATTAGTAATAAAAATATAAATTGATGTACCACCTTGGAAAACAATTCTTCAAAATGTTAAGTATAGTTACTTTATCACCCAGCAATTCCATTCCTAGGTATTTAACCAAGAGATATGAAAATGTGTATCCACAAAAATGTATTCATGAATGTCCATAATAGTATTTAAAGAGCCAAAAAAGTAGAAACAACCACCAAAAAAGCAGAAACAATCAAATATCTATGAACGAATAAAAATATGTGTAGTTCTTACAACTCAGTCATAAAAAAGAGTAAAATACTGATCATGCTACAACATGAACCTTGAAAACATACTAAGGAAGTGAAAGAAGCCAGACACAAAATCCACATAGTATATGATTTCATTTATATAAAAAGTGCAATATAAGCATAGAGACAGAAAGTAGATTGGTGGTTTCCAGTAATTGGAGAGGAGGACAGGAGGGCAGGGAGGTAACTGCTAATGGGTATAGAGTTTATTTTAAGGATGATTGAAAATGTTGTAAAATTAGTTGTGATGGTTGCACAACTGGTGAATACATAGTAAAAGCAACCAAATTTTATACTTAAAGGGTAAATGCTATGGCACATGAATTATATCTCTATAAACCTACTGTACTTATAAAAGACAAAACCAATAAACTATAAATACATACAGCATGGGTGAATTTTAAAGCCATTATGCTGAAGGACGTCAGACAGAAGAGAGTAATATCATATGATTCCGTTTATATAGAGTCCAAAGCTGGCAAAACCAGTCTCTAAAAATGAAAATCAGATCAGCACTTGCTGGTGGCAGGAGGTGGGGAATGATAGTAAGGGGTCCACAAGACAAGTCAGAGTTTAACAGGGGTGCTGATTATATCATGTATATACTTGTCAAAGCTCTAGGAGATGTGCACTAAATGTAGGAATGTAGGTATTAGGCTGTAAGTAAATTTCAACTTCAATAAAGTTAATTCAGAAAATAAAAAAGAAAGCTATCTAAATCAAGCTATCTAGTATAGTCAATAGTGCTCCCCAGCCTTTCTCATGTCCTGGCACCCATAGGGGATGATGATACAGCATTTGTGCGGCTTTACCCCAGGGTACTTGGAGTGTTCAGCTACATTGTTTTGGACCTGAAGTTTCCAGCCTGGACTCCAAGCCCCATTCCTAGCCAAGGACATGTTTGGTAAGCTGAGTATGGTGGATAACAGAGTGCCCTTGGATCAGACTGATGGTGGAGAATCTCTGGTCTGCTGATAACTGTCTATATGACCTTGGGCAAGTCACCTAGTTTCTCATTTCCTCTGATGCCTCACCTATAAAATTGGATGATAATAACACTTAACTCAAAAGATCACTGACATGTTTAAATGTGATGAGATAATATGGAAAAGTCCTAGCATAATTAATTGCAACTAAAATTTCTGTTCTAAAAAAATAGAATGATTCTTCAGCAATGTTCAACCTGGCACCAAGTTGCATTGCTGTAATGATTTTCACTGCATCTGTCTGTCCCACCATTTCCGCATCTGTGTTTGCCACCCCACTCCTCGCAGTCTCCTCCTGCTGGCCCATGGAGATCAGAGAGAACCCCAAAATTGAGGGGGCACAAAAGGATAGGTGTTTGAATGGGGTATCCCTTCCACTTCTCCCCTCCTCCCTCTTCTTCTCCTTCCATCCTCTGGCGCCTATAATCACCAGGCAGTCTGAGACAAAGTGGTAGTTTTGCCCACGGTGGGGGTGCTTGGAAACCACACCCCTCTTCCTGGGGCCCTCCTGGTCATTCGTGGCATCCTGGTCTCCTCCGCTGTTGACATGGGTCTGAAGGGGGCATGGTGTTTTCCATGGTGTGGGTGCCGGAGACAGCGGAGGACTGGAAAAAGAGCAGGTATGGGGGGTGACTGAGGAAAAAGTGGGGGTGGCCAGACAGACAAACTGCATTGGGTAGAAATGTATATACTCAAAATGGTGAAAAGGAAAAAGATAATCTGTCTCCCTGGGTGAGAGATGGGGCCATCATTTTCCCCAACAGTCTGGGAAAATACTTTCAGGGCTCACTGCAAAAATGAAGTGGAACCTCTTGTTCAAAAATTATTAAGAATCTCAAGGTAGTGACAGCAGAGCGTTACAAGTATGAGTGTAGAGTCTGGTGTACCTGCATAGATGGCGTGCCCATAGTCAGCCCTGCTCTCTCAACATATCTTTCAATCCCAGCTGATGCCACCACACTCACCCCCACCCCCAATCTTCTTCCCTGGCCTCTTTCCTCTCATTGGTGGGAGAGTGGTGGCACATGTCAGTTGTAGATACTGGAAGACCCTGACGCAAACTTCCTCTGTCGCCTCCAATCTTTCACGTAGGTCTGGATCCAGCTGCCCCTCCAGATCCAGATCCCAGGCCACCTACATCCCCCACTGTGGCTGAAGGAGGGATACCCTCCTTAGAGTCTGGTGCCTACTTCAGCAGGAAAGCTCGACTCTCCTTCCGCCACCAGCTGCATGACATAGCATCAGCCAATGACTCCACCATTTGAAGGGGACTAGGGGCTGAACTTCCAGGAAACTCTGGCATACCTCCTCCCTCCCCCTTTTTAGTGACCCCAGTGTCCTGCTCTCCCAAGTCCCTCATGACTTTCTCATTAAATCTTTTCAGAGTTGGCAGGTATGTGTGTTGGATCATGGGTGGGGTTAGAAGGTGGGGGGGGTCATAGGTGGGGTTAGAAGGTGGGGGCGAGGGCACTAGGGCGGGTCACTGGGCTCCGGTGGGAGTGGGGACAGGAATCCTGGATATGAACAACAGACCTGTGCAAAGCACAGGTTGATGAGGAGGTGAGCTCCAGAAATCAAGTTTCAGAGTTGAATGCCGAGAGCAATTTTGAGAGGTCAGGGGCTAGGCCGGGCAGCAGAGGGGGCTAGAGAGCATATCATTCAGTAAATAGCCAGGGTCCACGCCCTACCTGGCAAGCAGGCTGTCTCCATGAGCCAAGCAGAAAGAACTCTCTCTTCTCACTCTCTTATTTTCCAGTACAAGGAAGGAGACAAACAAATAAGAAAATACCAGAGAGTGCTAAGTGTTACTATGAACAAAGTAAAATTGAACAGGGAAACATGAGATCAGGGCGGAGAAAGGTACTGGTTCTTAAATTTCAGGTGGTCAGGAAAGGCCTCTGATGATGTGGCATTTGAGCTGAGACCTGAACAATGAGTAACTGTCTCAAAGTTGGAGAATGATGTGCCAACATAGGCTCAAATTCACAGGTTGTAATAAAGGTATCACTTTGGTGCAGGCTGTTGATAATATGGGAATCTGTGTATATGTGAGGGCAGGGAGTATACAGGACACTTCTATATCTTCCACTCATTTTTATTGTGAACTTAAAACTGCTCTTATGCCCTTCCTGGTAGCCTAGGGGTTAAGCCTCAGCTTATGCCTGGGTTCAGTCCCTGGCCAGGGAGCTAACCCCACATGGCACAGCAGACCTCTCCTGTCTCACCTGCTTCTCCCCTCAGCAGTATATTTCAGTGGGTTCACCTGTTCCACTCCCACTGTTTCTGGTGAATCCTCTCACCTCCCACACTTTCGCCTACACACCACTCTTGTATCCATAAAAAATAATCTAAAAAAAAGTCACAAGAGATGCCTGGCTCCCCCCTGCTCTTGCATCCACCTTGCTGCTTGGCCTGCTGGCCAACCTCTGCAATCAACCATGGTCCCTCTTCCACTTGCCCTGAAGGATTCAAATGCTATGGTGGCAACTGCTGTAAGAATGTGAGATCTGGCCCTCCCGGGTGGCACAGCGGGTTAAAGCACAGCACTAAGAAGCTTAAGCCACTTCCGCATGAGTTCGATCCCCACCTGCCCAGGAGGAGATCCATATGGCGTGGCAGACCTCTCTTGACCCGCCCGCTGCTCCCCTCAGCAGTGTACTTTGTCGATCTGCCTGTTCTGCTCCCCACTCTGTCTCTGGTGAATCCTCTCACCCTCCACATCTCTGGCCTGTACCCAAGTTCTGTATTAATAAATAAATCTTTAAGAAAAAAAAAAGAAAAAGAAAAAGAATGTGAGATCTTCTCAGGCTTCCTGAGGATCTTTGTCATCATGTTCCTCGTCATCTTACCCTTATGCTTCTGTGACTTGATCGAGCACTTCTATTCCAACTGCAGAGAGCCAAAGCAGGATCCCCCAATGGATCATTGGGACCCCCACAAAGGTTCTCTATGGTCCTTCCCAGAGTTAGGGACTCCTTCCCTGAGCTCCCACTCCCTAAAGAATATGCTGGACCCACAAAGACATTGACAACCCAGCCTTCTGAGCAACTCTTGCCTGGAATCCTGCTGTCACCTCCATCCCAAAGCCTCCAGGAGCCTGCCAGACTCTGGGGACCCCTGGCATGCCCCACCACCCATTACATCTTTGGCCTTTCTTGGATTTAACTTACTGCATTTCTTGCCCCTGCTTCATTGGTCTGTCTTGTACCATGGGGGATTAGACTGGATGTGCTGTAAATACCCTTCAATTCTACTTTAGAATAGAGAAGGACTCTCCCAAGCACTCTCCTATAGGGTGTCAATGTAAACTCCTCCCCACCACACATATTCACTAAATTTTAACAGATCATAAAAAAAGAAAATCACAGTAATCCTAGGTCAAAAAATAGTTAAGTGTTAAGTGCAAACATCCTGTAGTTCTAAAATGGAAATATCATATAACCCAGCTATATATTTATACAATCTGAACATAATTTTGGGTTATGCACCCCTACATGCATAGCAGCATTATTCACACAGCCAAGTGAATGTGCCCATTGACGGATGAATGAAAGAAGTTGTGGTGTGTGTGTGTACATATATACACACACCACACACATACTCAATAGACTACTTGTTACTCAGCTATTAAAAAAAGAAATCTTGCCTTCTGTGACAGTATGGACGGAAGAACATGGTGATTATGCTAAGCAGAAATAAGCCTGAAGGGTTTCTCGCACATGTTTAAATAGCAAATAAATTACAACCAAACAACGACTCTGTGAAAAATGTAATGATTACCAGAGGAGGAGGGAAGGGGGACTAAGAAGGAAAGGTAGAGGGTGTCAAGAATAGTCCTTCAAGCCTTAGGGCCAGTAGCCACTCATGACAGGTAGGAAGCAGACTGAAGGGAGGTAGCCCCAGTCTCAGTCAGGATTCCTGGGGCTTGCTCAGGGAAGGGGGTGCATTGTTGTTGTTGGCCACTCTCATATCAACCATACTCTGGTGTCACAAGGACCTGGATGTATGGTAAAAGAAAGGGGGAATATAGTCTGGAGAAAGATTTGAAAGCTATCTTTGCAAAGAAAAAACTCCAAAATACACAGCTTCTCTTTAACAAAATGTTTATTTGAATTTTGTGTCAGTGTGAGGTGTCTCTATCATATCCTAGAATTCCAGTATTCATGGAGGTGGTAAAGTGGCAATCGTGAATTTGGGGATCTGGTCTCCCAAAAGTACTTGTCGCTCTACCCCTGATTCTGCAATGGCTGCTAGGCGGATCACACCTCCACTAGAGCCATCCCGCTCCATGGCCAAAGCAAGAGCTGTGGATAAAATAATGAAGTTGAGGTCAGTCAGATGCTGGGATCAGTGTAAGATATGTTGGCTTTTGGCCTCCCTGGTGGTGCAAGGATTAAAGATACAGGACTATCAAGCTACTGCCAGCCATTACAGTACAAGTTCCATATCCTGGCCAGCCAGGGAACTGACCCACATGGCACAACAGACCTTTCCTGTCTTGCCTGCTGCTCCCCTCAGCAGTGTATTTTAGTAGATCTACCCGTTCTGCTCCCACTCGGTCTCTGATGAATGCTCTCACCTCCCACCTCCACCCTAGTATGCATAAATAAATCAATCTTAAAAAAAAAAAAATGTTGGGTGTGGGAGTTGAAGTGCACAGGCCTAGAAGCCTCAGTTCTCACCATTGGCAGTGAATTGCAGGCATTCTTCCTTGGTCATGCCTTCCCGGTAAGTTGCGTCAACATAGCCATAGATATAGGAGCTCCCAGAGCCCCCAATGGCAAAAGACTGCCTTACCATCATGCCTCCCATGGGTACTGAGTACACCTGCCAGATGGAAGAGCAGAGTCATCAGTTGTACCCTCCACACAACACATGTACATTTCAATCATCCATCGTGGAAATGAGTCTGGTAAATAGTAAGAGTAAGGTAAAAGAGTAGATAAGAGAAAGAGAAAATGGCTGAGGTGGGGGAAAGATCAAAGACACAACTTGGGGATGGGAGATAAAGTACTGGGGGCAGCATACCTGCCCTCCTTCTTGAGGGTCCCAGCCAGCAATGATGATTCCTGCCATCAGGTCTTCCCGGTATCGGTAACACATCTCCTTAAAGAGGCTGGCTGCTGTGTGTACCAGAGGAGGTTCATTCAGCTCAATGCTAAAGCGTGAGGGGATTGAAAGGGTAGGCACTGTTAGAATGAAGTAGTCAGGTGATTAAGCTACTCTGGTCCCAATTTCTTTCAGATATGTGCTCCTCCCCTGCCCACAAGCACCTGTGGAAACCAAGCTGATAGGTGACAGCATCAGCTACGGCCTGGGTATCAGCTGCTGAGCCCGAGCGGCAGCAGAAAATACGGTCGTGAATAGGGGTCAGTTTGTCAGTCACTCGATTGGCAATGTAGGACCTGCAGAATGACAGATTCGTTAGGAAAACACCCCCAGCTGCCCCCCCTTCCCTCCCCATAACTCCACTCCCTCATGATTCAAAAAAAAAGAATGACAGCATTTTCTATCAGTTTATATCCACACTAAAGGAGACTGGAGAAAAGACTTTCTCAAAAACAAAGGGTTAGCGGGGCTGGGAAGAGTTAGAAACTGGAGCAAATCCTTATGTCTAGGGAGGGGCGCAGTCTCCCTTCTCAAAGCCATCTGCAAAGTAAGGATGGGCTGGCAGGTGAAGGAAGAGAAAGATGGGAAAACCTTTCACGTGTCTGTTGTGGCTCACCCAGTGGTAGTTCTCGAGTCGGCCCCTAGAACCACGCCCCCGTCAAATTGCACGGCCATTATAGTGGTCTAAGAAACAAAAGAGAGGTGGGGGAGTCTGGTGCGTCCCACGTTCTCCTGCATACACAAACCTCAATGATCGCTCTATCTAGTCCCTAAAGTGCCAAAGTTTTGCACCACCGAACCATTACCAAGTCTCAGGAGGGACTCCACGCCCTGCAGAATACCAGAATCCAATCTGCAAATCCCCAACAGTCCATTCTGCCCATTAAGGCCCCCTCCGTCACCAATCCCGACGTGGTCGCTTCAGCCTACCTTCCGCCTCCCCATACTAAAGTATCGCACCACTGCAGCATCCTCAGGATACCTCTCCTGCCTAGAGCACAGCACCGACCACCTACTCCCCACCCCGCCAGTTCTCCAAACCCACTCAGCCCATATCCTTCCAACGCCTCAAGCCTTCCGCACATTTCCTGAACCTTGAGTTCCTCCTCACCCCTGTGGAGACTTCCTGGTTTTCCCAGTCCGGGGAAAGGGCCTCCGGCCCCCAGGCTGGTGCCGGCCCCGCTCCTCGAGCAGCTACTAAGGTGGCCGCCATCTTCCTCCGCCGCAGCTGCCACAAAGCAGTGTCGTAAAGTGCGCCGTCACGTTAGTCGTGCTAGGGCGTGGTTGACGGCAGAAGGGAAAGAGATGTGGGAGGGGTCTTTGCGACCGCGAGGCTTTATGGAAGCGAGGCCGGCAAGGTCGTTAAGCAGAAACCCAGAAAGCCGGTCTGCAAGAGTTATGTTCCCTATCGGACGATGCGGGGCTCATGTGTTTGTTCGGAGTTGCAATTTAAAGAACCTTCAAGATAGACTTGAGGGTCTCTGAATTAGCTTGTCAAAACTTTTTATTTCTCTTAGTTGTATACCTAGGAGTGTATACTTAGAATGCGATTACTGGGTGATACAGAAATTCTATATTTAACATTTTGAGGAACTGACAACTGCTTTACACAGCAGCTGCTTCATTTAACGTTCCCACCAGCCTTCCCTGAGGGTTCCAGTTTCTCCACAGCCTCAGTAATTGTTATTGTGCATCTTTTTTTATTTTAGTCATCCTAATGGATATAAAGTGATATTCTGTGGTTTCGATTTGCATTTTCCTAATGATTAGTGATAATGAGCAAAATTTTAATGTATTAACTTAATTGTACAAAGAGATATACTCAATGACTATATCATCTTTGGAGTAATGTTTATTCAAATCCATTTTGAAATTGGGTTTTCTTTTGTTAAATTTTAATAATAATTTTTTTTAGATATTAGGCTTTCATTAGAGACGTGGTTTGCAAATATTTTCTCCATTATCTGGGTTTTCACTTCACTTTTTCCTTGGAAGTGAAACAGTTTTAAATTTTGATTAAATCTAATTTACCTGTTTTATTTTTCTCTTATTGTGTTATATTCACGAAACCATGCCTGATCCAAGGCCACAAAAATTTACATCTATGCTTTCTTCTAAGAGTTTTTTAGTTTTGGTTTCTACATTTTTATATCTGTGACCCAGTTTGAATTAATTTTTGTATATGATGTGGTAGGAATCCAATTCTGTTGTGGATATAGTTGTTTTAACACCATTTGTTGAAAGGGCTTTTTATTGTTTCCCTATGAACAGTCTTGGCACTCTTGTCAAAGATCAGTTGACTATAAAAGAAGTGGTTTATTTTTATTTTATTACATTTCTGTGTCTATGGTTATGCCAGTAGTATACAGTCTTGTTTACTGGGGTCTTTTAGTCTCGTTATTGAGGTAAATTTCACATAACATAAAATGAATGAATTTGAAGCAGCATTTAATACATTGACAATGTTTTGCAACCATCACCACTGTCTAATTCCAAAATATCACCCATTCTGAAATTATGAAAAGTGAATGATTCAGGTTTGTTCTTTTTCAACTTTATTTTTGGCTATTCTGGTTCCCTTGTATTTCCATATGAATTTGTAAAAACTTGTCCTTTTTGGCAAAAAAAAAAAGGCAGTTGAACTTTTCACAGCAATTCATTAAACCTTAAGACCAATCTGGGGAGTGATGCCATCTTAACAATATTAAGTCTTCTAATACAAGAGCACATAATTTTTTTTTCCATTTTTTTAAGGTCTTCTTTAATTTCTTTCAACAGGGTTTTATAGTTTTCAGTATATAGGTTTTATACTTCATTGGTTAAATTTATTCCTAAGTGTTTTTTTTATGCTATTATAAATGAATTTTTCCTTTAATTTTATTATTAGATGTCCATTATTAGTAAATAGAAAACACTAGTTTTGTGTATTGATCTCATATTCTGCAACCTTGTTGAATCATTTATTGGCTCTAATAGCTGTTATGTGTGTGTTCTTTAGGGATTTTTTCAAAAAGATTTATTTATTTATGCATATGGAGCTGGGGTACAGGCCAGAGGTGGGGGGCGGGGAATGAGAGGATTCACCAAAGATAGACTGGGGAGCAGAACAGGCAGCTGTACTGAAATACACTGTTGAGGGAAGCAGTGTGGCATCAGGAGAGGTCTGGCACACCATGTGGGTCAGTTCCCTAGCTAGGGATGGAACTAGTAGTGCAGTGGCTATGATAACTTCTTAGTGCTTTTAACCAGTTGTGCCACCAGGGAGGGCCCTTCTTTAGGGATTTCTGTATGTGTCATCATGACATCTGCAGTAGAGATAGTTTTGCTTTTTTTCTTTCCAGTGTGACTCCAGTAAAATGTTGAATAGAATGACAAGAATAGATCTTACATGCTGATCTTGGAGAACATGTTTAGGGGAATGCTTAAAAGACAGTCTTTTACCATTGAATAATTGTGGATTTTTCATAGATGTCTTTGATCAGATTGAGGCAATTCCTTTTTGTTCCTAGTGTGATGGTTTTATCATGAGTGTTCAGTTTTGTCATATGCTTTTTCTAAGTTATTTCTCACATAATCATGTGGTTTTCCTTTTATTCTATTAAAAGTTATATTACTAAAAATAAACTTATAAAATAAAAAAAGTTACATGACACTGATTTACATTGAACCAGTTTTGTTTTACTGATATAAGTCCCATTTGGTTATGATGTTTAACCCTTTTTATATGTGGTTGGTTAGTATTTTGTGAGAAATTTAACAGGATAATACTGGCTTTATAGAATGAGTAGGGAGAAGTGTTTCTGTTTTTAATAGTTTGTAAAGGATTGGCACACATTTTTATTTAAACGTTTGATACAATTCACTACGGAATCATTTGGTCTTAGGTTTTCCTTTGTAGGAATTTATTTTGATTGCTAACTCAATATCTTTATTTTATTTTATTTTATTTTTAAAGATTTATTTATTTGTACATACAGAACTGGAGTACAGGCCAGAGGCTCAGGGGCGGTGAGAGGTTTCACCAGGGACAGAGTGGGGAGCAGAACAGGCAGATTGACGACGTACACTGCTGAGGGGAGCAGTGGGAGGTCAGGAGAGGTCTGCCACGCCATGTGGTCACCTCCGGGGCAGGCGGGAATCGAACTCATGCGGAAGTGGCTTTAGCTTCTTAGAGCTGTGCTTTAACCCGCTGTGCCACTAGGGAGGGCCCTCAATATCTTTATTTTTAAAGTGCCTAGTTAGATTGTCTATTCATTCTTGTTTAATTTGGTTATTTATCTTTCTAGAAAGTTTCCTAATTCATTGAAGTTATCAAATTTGTTGGCTTACACTTGATTATAGTATTCTACTATAATCCTTTTTGTTCCTATCAAGACGGTAGAAATATCCCTGCTTTCATTTTTTATTTTAGTAATTTGAGGCTTCTCTCTTTTCTCCCCCTTCATCAATCTAGATAAAGTGTTGTCCATTTTGTTGCTCTTTTAGAAAGAACCTACTTTTTGTTTAGTGATTCTCCTTGCTGCTTTTCTACTTAATTTATTTTCATTCTTACATTTGCCATCCTCTTTCTTTTGCTTTCCTTCGGTTTGTTTTATTCTTTTAGCTTCTTTAGGTGGATGGTTAAGATATTGACTTAGTGGCATTTCTTCATTTTTAGTTTAGAAATTTATAGCTACATTTCCCTCTGTGCACTATTTATGTTGTATCCTTAAGCTTTGGTGTGTTTTTAATTTTCACCAATCTAAGAATATTTTCCCTATGATTTCTCCTTGGACCCATTGGTTGTTTAATTTCCACAATATTTGTAAATGTATCAGATTCACAACTTCCCTTCAGTTATTGATTTCTAATTTCATCACACTTTAGTTGGAGAATGTTTTGTGAGTTCAACCCTTTTCAATTTTTTGAGAAGTTTTTTGGTCTCAATATCATGTTTCCTGGATATGTCAGCATATACTTTACTCTTATTGTGTTACATGGTGCTCCTACGAATCTGGCGTACTCTTTGCAAATACTGTAGCTGGAGTTGATTATTTGGACTGAAAATACAATCCAGACAATCCCCTGCTTAAAATGAACTATCCAGATAAAATCCCATTTATGTAACATAGTTTATAAGGCCCTTCATGAACCTTTTTCTGTTCACTGTGAGGGTCATTCTCTTTAATTTTTGATTGTAGTAAAACATAAAATGACATAAAAAAGAATTTAGCATTTTAACCATAAAGTTCATGTATACTGTAGTGCAACCCTCTCTTTTCTTTGTGACCCTTTGGGCTCCAGCTATCTGAACTATTTTTAGGGTTCATCCATTCATTCAACAAAAACTATTGACTGTCTCCTAAATGCCAGGCACTGTTTGAGGCATTGGAGATACATCAGGGAACAAAGTAGATAGAAATTCCTAATCCTGTGCAACTTGCATTCTTCTGGGGGAGACAAAAATAATAAACCCATATATAGGTTGTTAGTGAAGTAAGTAAAAAAAAAAAAGCAAGGGAGATTGTGTGTGTGATTTGAAATTTTAGAGAGAATAACCAGGGAAGTTCTCATTGCAGACATTTGAAACAACCAAAAGGCGATAAGGAGGAAGTAATTTGTCTATTTGGGGAAAACATGGTGGACAAAGAGACCTGCAAGTACAAAGCTCCCAAGGCCAGGTCTTGCCAAGTGTGTTCAATGAATATTGAGGAGGTCACTTTGGCTAGTACAGGGTCAACAGATGCAGGACATTTCAAAAGATTTTCATCTGAAAACTTCCTGTGTACATTTGAGAAACTTTTCTTCTGAGTGCAATAGGAAGCCATTGGGAGATTTTGAGAGGGAAGGAACTCCTCAAAGTCTCACTTTGGCTGCTATATTGAAAATACAGTAGAGGGAGGCTAAGGATGGGGCAGGAACACTCAGACTATTGCAGTTATTCAGGTGGTAGTTCAGGATGGTTTGACAAGGATAGTAGAGCAAAGATAATGGGAGGTGATCAATTCTGACAGATTTGGTGTCTGATGAAAAGAGAAAGTTTTAGGTCTAAAGATCTGGAAGAATGAGCTGACATTTTCTGTGCCAGCAAAGACTATGAAGTGAATATTTTTGAAGGAGAGGACATTAGAAGCTCAGTATTGCACACGGTAAATTTATTATGCCTAGCTAAAGAACATGTGGAGATTGTGAGCAGGGAGATGGAGCCCAGGAGAAAATGGATTGGCACGATAATTTGGGGTTAGCAGTGTATGAAATGGCTAACCTTTTTTACGTTCACAATTGTGGGAGTGACCAACGAGTCATTTAATAAAATATATCCTTGAGCTGAGCGCCTGCTTGGAGTTAGGCAAGACTCGCAGGCTTGGGTACTGACATGAGGGGGTGCCTTTTATTTACAGAGACTGGGAACAGACGATGTGCAGTTCTGGAGGGGCGATAAGACCCGCGTTGGTTGTGTTGCGTTTCCGCCGTCCGAGGCGGTGTCCAGGAGAGAGCTGGCTTTATGGGGACTGGAGCTTAAGTCTGGACTGGAGACTCGCGCGCGTAGGCAGATGAAGGCACGGGAGTGGCGGAGAGGCGCAAGGGGAAGTGTGAGTCTCGGCTGCCGGGAACAGGGATGACACAGGTTCCTACATTCACTTTTGCATGTTTCCCTTAAGCCCTCGCCGTTATCTCGCGGAACGGTCTAGTCTATGCCGACCAGAAAAAACCTCTTATTCCTCACCGATCCCCTCAGCCCAAAACAGCCGAGAGAGGAAGGGTCCCACTACCGTCCGCGTCGGGGGCGGGCCTTCCATCGGTGACTCACGAGGGGCGGAGCACCGTCCGGCGTGGGCGGGGGGCCGGCCGCCCTGGCGCTCCCTTTCTCCGGACTTCCCGGGAGACCTCGGCCCGCCCGCCTCAGGCCAGTTGCATCATGCCGCGCTCTGCCAACAGGCTCTGGGTGCGGTTGTACACGTCCTCCAGGGTAGCAGCACCCCGCGCCAGCGCGGCCCGCGCCTCCGCTTCCCGGGTCCCCGGACACGCCAGCTCAAGCAAACGGGCGCGACCCGGGAAGGCGAGGAACGCCACGCGCACGGCCTGACGCACGACCCAGGGGTGGTGCGGAGCCAGGGCGGTGCCGTAGGCGTCGCTGCACTGGGCGCTGGCGTCCGGGCCTCTGCGCGTCCCTGTCGCCACCCGGTGGAGGCAGAGCTGGGACCAGCGCAAAGCCCGGTGCAGCAGGAGCAATGTTCGTGAGCCCGAGGACTTGGCCGGGTCCGCAGGGGCGCTCCCGGGCTGCTCCAGCAGTCCTGCCCGCCGCTCCCACTCCTCCATGGCCGCCAGCGACGTGTAGTGGGAGGCATCTGGGCCGTGTACCAGAGCCTCGAGGGCTGTTATCTTGGAGAAGGCCTCGCTGGTGGCGAAGGCGAAGATGGAGCCCAGGGGCGTTAGGAACCTGTGCGTTTGGGAGAGGGGAGAGTGGACCATCTGAAAGGGCTGTAGAGCCACAGGAGGTGGGGGACTGTGCGGGGGAGAGAGAGACCACTCACTTGACCAGCTCCCTCCATCCTGCCAAGTACTGGGACAGCTGCACATCCCCTTCGGGGTTCAGACTGGCGCGGAACGGCCTCATCAGGCGGCCCAACGTCCCCTGGGGGCCCAGGCACAGAGGCTCTTCCTGCCCCAGGGCTTCCAGAAGTCCCGACTGTTGTTGAACCTGGGAATATAAGGGGGAAGGGGGGAGCAGTATCCCTAACCTTCTGAGCCTCCTCAGCCAAGCAACCTAAGAGACCTTGAAGAAATTGTTACCTAGATCTGTCAATAGCTAGTGTGCCTAGCAGGGAGAGAAGTGCCCGCCGCCCTTCACTAGATCCGCAGCCTGGCTCCACTCCCCGCTCTCCACGTCCCACCTGGAGCTAGGAGTCTCAGCCCTGCCCCACGCCTACCTGGGAAGGTGGCAGTTCCTCGGCAATGCAGTACTGCTCTCCGATTCTGCAACTTGAGATGGGACCTGAGGATAGGTGAGGGGGGTGGTAAGGACTTGAGCAAGGGGCTTTGGTCCCAAAAGTTTAGTCTCCTTGGGTTCCTCCCAGAGCAGGTGAGGGAAAGGGCCACTTACGGAGACTCCCAGCACTGAGATAAAGAAGCAGCAGCGCGATTACAGCAAGAGGAATTGTGCGGCAGAACCAGCGCCTCCCGGGGACCGGGAGAGGGAGCGGGACCCCCATGCTGCTGCAGGGACCACCGCTCCCTCACCAGCCCCTAGCCAGTCCTTTTCCATCAGTTCCTGGAGGGGAGAAATGCTGGAAGTGTCCAGCGGCAAAAGGTTAATAATTAACTTAGTAAGGACCCTTCCCCTGTGCCCTTTGCCCTTAAAGTCAAAGCACTGGCATGTTTCGGACAGAAAGAAGGGAACATGGGGGATTGGGTGGGAATGACATGTTTGCATTTCTTCTTCCCTGTAGGAACAGGTTGTAGCTAGAGGCAGCCAGGTTATTGGAAAGAGAAGCTGAGGTCAGAACCAGCTCCCCCACTGAGCAATGGTAGGGCCCTACTTTGCTGTGTTTGAGTTCCCTCCACTGTAAACTGAGACTAATAACAGGTGCTTTGCAAGCCTCAAGTGAGGATTAAATGATAATGTACGTGCAAACACTGTAAATGAAAAAGCTTACCACAATTGCTTCATAAATCTTCATTAAGTTTGAGTGTGGGACACCTAGGATCTATGAATAGTAATTTCTAAACTTTCTATCCCAACCCCAGGGGAACTTGTCTTGATCTGGATGCATGGCCTTTTGACTATATCATTAGAATTTTCCCTTTTACATTTTTGTGGTTTCACTTTTTCAACTCCAGATTGGCTCCTCAATTGTTTATCAAACCAAACCTTATTAACTACTTCCTCATGCCAGGCCCTTTACCAGATCTTCAGAAGACCAAAGTGCCTTCACAGAGCTCAAGGTCCATTAGAGAATTAAAATTTATTTTATTTTATTTATTTATTTATGCACAGAAGAACTGGGGTGTAGGCCAAAACAACTACAGTGTGTGTGTGTGTGTGAATGGATTCACCAGAGACAGAGTGGGGAGCAGAACAGGCAGATTGATTAAAATACACTGTGAGGGGAGCAGTGGGCAGATCAGGAGAGGTCTGCTACACCGTGTGGGTCACCTTCCTGCCTGGGGATCGAGCTTGTGCTGCAGTGATGTGCTTTAACCTGTTGCAACATCAGGGAGGGCCCCCATTAGAGAATTTATCATCTGTCTCCCCCACTGGAATGTGGGCTCTGATGAAGACAAGGGCCTAATATTTCTTGGTTACAACACTTAGAATATTGTCTGGATCAAGATGTGTTATTACTAAATAAATATGTATGGAATAACAAAAGGAATGTATAGGAGGGGCAGGCAAGTTAGGGGTGATGCTCCTTGACAAGTTTGAGCCAGTTTTTTTGGGGGACCAATTAGGAGTCCACCTGTTGGCCATGGGGGAGGGGGAAAGACATTCCCGGGGGAGGATAATAGAAGCAATGGTGTTGGGGACCAGCCCCAACTATCCAGCTATTGGGAGGTGAGATATGCAGGGCCCTAAGGTGGGAAGGTGTCTTGGAGCAGAGATTCCAAAAGGGGAGAGGGGAGCGGACGCGAGAGTCAGAGTTGGGTGCAAGTCTTCTTGCTCATTTTCTCAGTGGATATTTATACTCTGTAGCAAGTAGTTAATTACAATAATGCATAGGGTAAGTTAATGAGGGATCACCATAAAATGTTCTCAAGGACAAGGGGAACAAAGCATTTTCTTCCTAACACTTTATGGTGCACTAAATTACACATTTTTTGAAAATTGTCATGTATACAGATGTTTAACTATAACTCAAGGGAAGAGGGGTCTGGGAAAGGATGAGCTTGTTAGCAAAAGGTTATTAGGGGTCTTAGGGAAGTACAAATTGTGTTAGCAGTGTTATCAGTGATTGAAGAAAAGATAGTGGCTAATTTAAGGCTAGCAGAGAGTAGTTAGTGTTTGTTTTAAAAAGGAGTAAATTAAGAGAAAGTTGTACAGTTGTGTATTAAGAAACACCTGTGTAAACAAGGTTAGAAATTGTTCATGAGTCCTTATGCTCTAGGAGTCTTATCTGAGATTTATTTTTATTTTAAAGAAACTAAGGAAACTTACCAGGAGTTTTTATGCTCTGGGGTTCTTTTTTTTTTTTTTAAGATTATTTATTCGTACAGAACTGGGGTACAGGTCAGAGATGTGGAGGGTGAGAGGATTCACCAGAGACAGAGTGGGGAGCAGAACAGGCAGATCGACGAAGTACACTGCTGAGGGGAGCAGCGGGCAGGTCAGGAGAGGTCTGCTGCGCCATGTGGTCACCTCGGGGCAGGCGGGGATTGAACTCATGCGGAAGTGGTTTAAGCTTCTTTGTGCTGTGCTTTAACCCGCTGGGTCACCAGGGAGGGCTGCTCTGGGGTTCTTATTTCTCCTGGGCTTGCCTTTTGTCTCCAGAGACAGAGGAATTTCCTGCCTTGGGGCGGGAAGACCCTAACTTCCAAAGTTCATAGGTTCTTGTCCTATCTCTCACTCTGATGCTCTTTCACTTCTGGAGATCCCTGTGGGTGACCTGACTAATGTCTCTAATAGGATCCCAGAATCACCTCTTCCATTCCTAGCCTCTGCCCTTCTCCTCCCCAACCCCCACTATTCCCAGTATTGGAATGTTTCCTGGACTGCTATGACCTTAGACAAAGTTGCTTGCCATTTCTAAGTCCTAGTTCCGGCATCTGCAAAATAGAAGGGGCAAGTTCCACCTCTCAAATTGTCAGGATTTAATATATGACTGCATATCCCTAACCATAATTCTTTGCCTCAAGTAAACTTCAGTAGGCAGTTCTTTTAATTCCTCCACTCTAGTGCCCCTCCTCTTTTGGCGCTGGGAACCTCCTTTCCCCGAGCAGAGAATTGAGTGTGGGACTTCTGGAACGGATTAGTATTGGGTTGCACTAAATCCAGGTTGCCCTTCCGCAACCCGCAACCCAACCGGAGCTCTCAAAGGGGCAGGGGTGTTATAAACCTGCCTTAGGGACTCAACTCACTGCTGCGGGATGGAGTCTCTTGCAGGAGCTAAATGGTTGCTGCTACTCTGGATGTGCTGCGGATCTGCAAAAGCAGGTGGCCCAAGTGGCTACACGTCGGTCATCGAGGTGACCAACGGGGGCCCTTGGGGTGACTGGGCCTGGCCGGAGATGTGTCCTGACGGATTCTTCGCCAGTGGGTTCTCGCTCAAGGTGGGGGCTCAGGACGAGGTTGTGGAGCGGGTGGAGAAGCCTCGGACCCGAGTCAAGGATGGAAGTCTTCTGACTTGCTCTCCCCCTCCTTCTCCTTGCTGTCCAGGTGGAGCCCGCCCAAGGCATTCCTGGCGACGACACAGCTCTAAACGGGATCCGGCTGCACTGTGCGCGAGGGAATGCGGAGCGCAACACTCATGTGGTGGAGTCTGAATCTGGAAGGTAGCGGGCCCGGGGCCAGGGATCCCCTAAGGTGGGGGAAGGCCTATGTTCTTTGTTACACAAACCCCCAGGCAGGTTGCTCCAGAGCTGTGGGGCACTGCAGCCCCCGGGAAGTGGAAGTCAGTGATGAGATAACCCACTGGGATCAAGTAGCTTTCAAGGCTTGGGTGGGTGGAGGATAAGGGGCTTTAGCAGAGCCGGCGCGTCTCCACTTCCCTCGCAGGTGGGGCGCGTGGAGCGAGCCGCTGTGGTGTCCGGGCGGCGGCTTCCTTGTGGCTTTCACGCTCCGAGTGGAGCCTCCCGTGACTCGGGGAGACAACACCGCAGCTAACAATATACGCTTCCGCTGCTCTGATGGTACGGAGCTGGAGGGACCCGGCCAGACCTGGGGCGACTTTGGAGACTGGAGTGACCCATGCCCTAAAGGCGCTTGCGGCTTGCAGACCAAAATCGAGCGACCTAGAGGCCTCCGCGACGACACCGCGCTAAACGATGTGCGCTTTTTCTGTTGTAGTAGTTGACACCTTTGCTCCCTTCTCCCTGACCCAAGCTTGCTCCACCTCCAGCTATTAAACCTCTCGTCTTGGCTTTCACCTCCATTCTTTTAGGGGTGGGAAACAGCGTCTCCTTGTCTTTCTCCTAAACTAGCAAATTCAGGCTTGGTCTCAGAAGTCCACGGCAGACTACTACTTAACCTCATGAACCCATAGTCTGGAAAGAACGCACTTAAACATGATCTTGCCTACACGTTAAGGAAGTTCTGGCTTCCCTTACAGAGGGCGCCTCCGGGAAAAGTCCAAGTTGTTTCCTTGAATTGCCAGTGACCTCAGATTAACAAACTTCTACCAAATTAGGAGGTAACAATGCCAAAACGACATTTTCTAGATTTACAAGAAGATGAAGTGTCTTTACTATAGTTTTCTCTCCCTCCCTCCCGCTACCCCAAAACCCCAACTGCGGTTTTTCTATATACTGATTCCCATTTAGGGTCTTTGTCCTTGCTGTTCCCTCAGATCTGAACGAACGCATTCCTCACCCCATCCCCACCCCCAGGAATCCAGAGCCTAGTCACCAGATTTCAGTGGAGAGTTTATTTTCTTGGATTTTCTCTATCTTATTTTAAAACGTCTCTCCATCAGTCAACATCTGGCCTATTACCAAGGTTTTTAAAAAGTACTTAACACTTGGACTTGCCCTTTAAAAAAACTGGCCCACCTCCCCGTCCTGGAATGTTAAAATTCTTTGTGAGCACAGAACTTGTTTCCCATGGTATCTCCTGCGCACACTAATAGCTCAATAACTCTGTTAAGAAAATAACGGGGGTGGGGGGATAACACACGAGCTCTAAGGCCTGGTGTATCGGTGTGTGTGTGGGGGGGGGGCCTCGGGCCATTCCTCGCATAGTGTACAATCTGAGAAGCAGAAGAGAGCGCAAACCAGTTTATTCCCGAGTGGGGGGCGGGAGGGGGACAAGTGGGCGACCAGGAACTAGCTGGGGCAGTCAGTGGAGCCTCAGTGACGAGCAGCCTGCAAAAAACACAAAGTAAGGACGCAGCCGAGGAGCGAGTAGCTTCGCTCTACAGGACTTGACGCTCTTGGCGTCCCACCTCCTTCCGGCAATCGCCACAGAAGACACCGATGGACGCGTTCACCAGCTGCACGCCACAAAACACGATCTCCAGGCACGAGACGGCCACCAGCACTGAGAAGAGCGTCACATTCCAGAAGACCACATTAGGCGGCTTCAAGCACAAACTCCACTGAGTGCGGTTGACCAAGTAAGAGCCACTGTGCACGGGACAGGATCACGTGAGAGGGGGTCCCAGCGAGCCACTGCCCCTCCCCGCTCTGCGCACGCGCAGGGGTATGCCAAGGTTTGGCTTGACCCTAGAGGAGAAAGCTCTGGCGAAGCGGGACCTTCCCGCCCCCAATGTTTTCCAGGTCGTAGTAGACAGACAGATCGGAGAGGTCGAGAATGAGAGGGGACAAAAGGAAGTGGGTAGCGGGAAAGCAGATTGAGCCTTACTCTGTGTTCTTGAAGGGGTAGTGCCAGGTGCCGCCATTCTCTGTTTGGCAATTTGGCCCCATACGGAGCGCTGCTCCCGACACTGAGAGGCAGTAGATCGCACCAAGCACCCCAAAGGCTGAGGAGAAGACTGAGCGCAGCATCTGCATACAGAGTAGAAGGCTGGGTGAGTAGGGCTGCCCCACCCCCACACCTGGGCAGACCACACCTGGCGTCGGCTCACCAGGTGTCCCCAATGACTGCAGTCTTCTCAAGTCCTGGCAAAAACACATTTCTTGCTAACCTTGGGATTTGGAATTAGGTTACTGTTCAGAGCCAGCAGTAGTGGAGGTTCATGGGGTTTATAGTCCCTCCTGGCCAGGCCCACTAAAGCCTGATTTGTGGATTTGACAGGGGTAAGGCCTCCACAGAGGAACTCTTGTAGCTCATGTAGAGGGGGTCGGGATTTTAGGTGTGACACTTGGAAGAACTGGTTCAAAGACTGAATTCTGTTCCTGGTCTTAACTGGGGTCTTACCCTGCAGCGATTTCCACAGCAGCCTGCACCACAACATCCCTTGCCCCCTGCCCGAACAGCTGCAATTCCTGGACACAGTACCTGTGGGAGAAGAGTCAGTGTGAGAGCCAGGGAGGCCTATCTGAACCTGAAGATCTCCCCTGCTTCAGTGCTTATCTCATCCTGGACCCTCCTTATGATAGATACCCTCAGCCCTTTGGACAACAGGAAGACCTTATCGCTACCTATCCTGGATGACTGTCTTGCTCTACCTTAACTTATCACTATTTATGTGCCTACTTATCTCTGACCATGATATAGCCTCCAGAAGGGTAGGGCCCACATTATCATTATATTCCTCACAAATCTTAGCACATAGTACGTGCCCACCTGAACATGAGTCAGAAGTGTGGGCTTAAGGCTAGCCCAGTGCTCACTCCACATTCTATGGATTGATGAATCTCTTTGAGTCTCACTTTTGTCCTCTGTAAAATGTATCTGCTAGACCTGCCTCACAGGACTGTTCTTGGGTTTAATGAAATAGCAGGTGGACTTGGCATCAAGACTGGTTAGAGTAAATACTCAGTACAAATCTTTTTAGCAGCAGGAAGGAATCATGGTGTTGGAATGATTGGTGAGATAAGATTATGGTGGAGGATGGAGAACAGAAATTAATGCACTGATGGGAAGTGTCAGGATCCCCCAAGAGACAGACCTGGTCCTCTTCATCTGTCTTTCTCCCTGTGGCCTGCTTCAAGAACCCTTTCCCTCCCATGGCATCAGTTACTCCCTCTAGCAATAGTCATTTCCTAAGTTGATGCCTCCATATTTTGAAATCTAACAGCTTGAAGTGTTCGCTTGAATACCTTGGTTTTAGCTCAAATTCAGTTAGCCTCCTAACTGTCCTCACAGCTTATTCACTGACCTATCTTACTTTTTGACTTTCTTACCTCTATAGGTGGAAATTTCTGGCCAGGTCATCCAGGCTGGAAAACTTAAATTTTCAACACCCAATCATACCTCACGTCTTCTGGATTTTTCTTCAGTGGTTTTTGAATTTGTCAGTTCTTTCTTCTTCCAAAGTCAGTCCCTGATTACCTCCCATGAGGATGATGTTCTCAATCTCCTGATTAGATTTTTTTATCTCTTGCTCCATGGACAAATCCCTCACTCCATCCTACATTGCTGCCTGTGGATTAAACTTAACTTTCAACAGGTATTTTTTTCTGCCAAAATCCCTTAGTGTCTTTTCAGAGACTTGCTCATCAAGACTGAATTCTGGCAAGACATTTGAGGTTACAAGTCATCAGCCTTGTCTTTGTTACATCAGGGCAGGTTCTTTGCCCGATTTCCATCTCTGGAATTCCACAGAATTCCAGATGTTTTGATAGTCCCCCTGAAAGTCTTGTCTGGCACATACCACACCAGGCAGCATTTTGTTCCCCAGGGAAAGAAGGCAAGAATTTTAGTTCTGTTGCATCATCCACAACAACCTTACAGAAACACCTGCAGAGCTGAAAGGACTTTCCATTGGACACCTTCCCTCTCCCATGTCTCATGGCAGGTCTAGGACCAGAGTCTTCCCCTTTGCCCTTAAACAACATGAGAGTTAGGGGTACTGACCCCTGTGTGGTAAAAAATCTGAGTATAACTTTTGACTCCTCCAAAAGTTAATTATTCATAACTTGCTGTTGACCTGAAGTCTTATGGATAACATAACTAGTCAGTAACATATTTTGCAGATTATATGTATTATAAGCTGTATGCTTCAATAAAGTGAGCTGGAGAAAAGAAAAAATTACTAAGAAAATCAGAAGAAGGGGCCTTCCTGATGGAATAGGGGTTAAAGTCTCAGTGCTATCAAGCTATTTCCAGCCACTAAAGCACAAGTTCACTCCCCAGTCAGGGAGGTGACCCACATGGTGCAGCAGACCTCTCCTGTCTTGCCCGCTGCTCCCCTTAGCAGTGTATCTGCCTGTTCTGTTCCCCACTCTGTCTCTGGTGAATCCTCTCACCCCCTGTACCTCTGGCCTACACCCAAGTTCTTATATGCATGAATAAATAAAATAAATATTTTTTTAGAAAGAGAAAATCACAAGGAAGACAAATACCTCTGCAATATTGTCCAGTATAAATACTGTCAGTATATGCTGTCTGTTGCAAGAATATCCAAATATAAGTGGACTGAAGCAGTTCAAACACATGTTTTCAAGGGTCAACTGTATACCCAACAGAATGCAAACAGGCATTCCTGTAAAACCATTTACAGAAATGTTTATAGCAGCATTATTTGTAACGAGCCCAAGCTGAAAACAATCCAAACATCCATCAGTAGTAGAGTTTTCAGTAAAATGCAATATGTTCATGTGGTGGAATGCCTAAGAAATAATAAGCAGGTATAATTAATCTAAGAGGTAGAAGTCCTTGTTGGTGGAGGGGACACCTGACGGGAGCATCTCTGGGATTCTGGTAATGATCTGTATCTAGATCTGGGTGACAGGAGCATAGGAGGGCCTACTTTGTAAGAATTCATTGAGCTCTAGTTTAAGGATCTGGGCACTTGTCTGTGTGACTGAAATACGGTGTTTGAAAGAAGTTTGAGAGGTCTGAAAAAAGGCAACAGAGTCCTTCAATAGTTTTTGTTGTGCTTATAATAAAATTCAGACCCCTCTGTGTGGCTCTCAAGGACCTTTGGCCATCTCAGACCTCATCTCATTAAAACTTAGCTGCTCTGGCCACATGTCTGATCTTCTGATGTGCGAGCCTGTTCCTGCCATCAGCTTTGTCCTTGTCAGTCCCCTGTCTGTACTGCTGATTCCTTCTTTTTGCCATTTGAATCTCAGTAAAGATGTCAGCTCATCAAGGCCTTCCTTGAAACTACTATTAAAAGTGCCCCCTCCCACTCAGCAACCAAAAAAGAGAAACACATGTCTTTTGCAGCAACTTGGATGGAGCTGGAAAAGATCATGCTTAGTGAGATAAGCCAGAAAGAGAAAGAAAAATACTGGATGGTTTCACTCATAGCAGGAGTATAATGGACCAGGCGAGAAAATAACAAAAATAATGAACAACCATATACCAGAGACATTTTGTGGGGGTGGAGTGGGGAATGGGATCAAAAACGGTGAGGGGGGGGAGAGAAATGCACGGGATTATGGTGATGGCACATGGGTGATTTGGTGATGGGAAACCCGCGGGGATTACAATTGAGATGGAAAAAAAATGTACAAAATGATGTAAAAATAAACTTTTGTAAAAAAAAAAAAAGTGCCCCCTCCCTGCCACCTTGCTCTGGTGGTTCTTTATGACAACACCCTGCTTTGTTTACTGGATGGACTCTACTCCTACTTGGGATAATCTTGTTAATTCATTTACTGACTATTATTTACTGGCACACAGCAGACTGTCGTTGCTCTGTGGAGTTTACATCTGTGCATCCTGGAGGCTGTGTGTCTCTCTAGCAGGAATGGCAGTTTCAGCAAGAGCAGGGACCTCACCTGGACCCCCCCATGTAGCTATGTTAATCCATTTGAAAAAGCCTCAAGAGTGGTGCAGGGCATGGAGGTGGGGGGAGGAAGGTAGCCGGCAATGAGTATATTGGGAAGGCATCTTTGGGCATCTTCCCTGCAGCAGGCTGGTTAGATTTGTGGAAAGATGCATGTCATTTAGGCTGGAGAAGAGGTGCCTTGTGGCATTGTCTGACTGTGTAGGTCTGGAAGGAGTGTGAGATCTCGGAGAGCTGAGGCCAGAAGGATAGAGTCCAGTCCAACAGTCACGAATTCATGGGGGGGGGGTGAGGGAGTGGGAGAGGTGAGAGAAAAGACCCCAGCAAGAGCAGATTGTTGGATAAAGAAGAGGTGTGTAGGTCCTGGTGGCACAAGGGGTTAAAGTGCAGCACAATGATGCAGTCATAGCCACTGCAGCAGGAGTTTGCTCCCCGGCCAGGGAGCTGACCCATAGGGCACAGCAGACCTCACCTGTCTCCTCCACTGCTTCCCTCAGCAGCATATTTCAGTAGATCCGCCTGTTCTGCTCCCCACTCCCACCCCCCAACACCTCTGGCCTGTACCCCAGTTCTTATATTCATAAATAAATAAATCTTAAAAAAAAAAAAAAAAGAAGAGATGTGATCAGCAAAAGAAGTCTAGGAAATCTGTGTCTTCCCGTTCCCTACTTCTCTGGCTAGATCCTAGTCAGATAAGTGGGGGCATCTTCTCTGCTTTACAAGCCTAGTTTTTGAGTTTATTTTTAGTGCCTGGTACAGGGTGGGCATCCAGAAATATGGGCTGAGAATGAATGGAGAAGGAGGTAGTGAGGTTGAGATAACAGTAGAATGATTGACCTGTGCCTGTGATATTGCTCCCTGACTCATTACTGTCACTGCTTCCCACCCCCATGCGCATTATTATCTTGCCCTGTTAACCTCCTACACAGCCAGCTAGCTGTTCCTGCTGCCCGACCCTTGTAGTGAGGTGTTCCCAACTTCAGCTCCACGGTGGGGGCAGGGAGGGGGTAGGCACAGTAGGAGAGACTTCCTACTTAGAAGAGAAGCTCTTTAGAGCACTGAGGCTCCCTTTGTCTTCGTGGTCCTCAGGGGTTCAGGACTCAGGCTCTCTAGGACCACTGCAGAGTGCTCAGTATTTGGGGGCAGACAGAAGAGGAGCAGATAGAATGACCTCACCAACATATTGCCAGTGCTTCCTAGGCAGCCATCCTTTTCTCTCTTCCCACCTGTTCACAAGCCCAAAGATTAGTGACCAGCCCCTCTGGTCCACACTCCCTGGTTTCCCTTCTCACCATCAGGCCCCCGCCGATGAAGCCAGCCATGAGCCAGACGTGCGTGCTGAGATGATCTGTCCAGTTTTTCTCCCCATTAGGCACCAGCAGAAGGGCGTTGGAGATGATACTGATCAGGGACAGAGGGATGAGGCAGAGCCCCAGGAAGCGAGCACACTTTCCCGTGCACATGCTGTGTCTGATGAGAAGAACAGGCAGTGAGTGAAAGTGCGCCTGGTTCCTGGGTGCAGAGGAAAATAAGCCAGGAGCAGGAGCAAAGGTCGGAGGAGGTGTGGCAGAAACTGGCAGGTTCAGGAGATATGAGAGAGGGACAGGAGCTCTGGAAAAAGAGGAGGCAAAGGTGGAGGATGGCTGCCCTTGAGGAGGAGGGAGGAAGTGGGGGAGCTGCAAAGAGGAAGCTGCCTGTGGTCATTGTGTTCTCTGTGTTCATTGTGTCTCTATAGCCTTCTGCTGGCTCCTTACCTGCCTTGTGACTTAGCAAAGCCCCCAACATCTCCAAGTCTCTAAATCTCTGTTGCCTTTACTGGACAAAGGGTGGTTGTGACAATTAAGTGGGACGACGTGAGCTCGGATGCACTCAGCAGAGGCACGGTGGTCTCTCTTCTGTGGGTCCCACGGCGAGGGCTCGTCCTGGGCGGAAACTAAGAAGATGGTACTGGGCATTTGTGAGCCTTCAGTTCTTAATATTTAGTTAGCAACCCCTCTCCTATCTCTTAGGGTGCTCTCTCAAAAGGCTGGATCGATTAGCCTTCCATCCTCCTGGCCTCTGTTGTTGAGGGCAAAGAAGTTCTGCTTTTTGTTGGGGTGCTGAGGTTGTTGGCGGCCAGTTACCACAATGAGGGAGGTGTTAGCCAGTCAGTCCAGAGGAAAGAACTGTTGAGAGACAGAGAGAGACTGAGTCTCGTCTTTTTTACGTTCAGTCTTATTTCTATGTATTTTTTTTTATGATCATCTTACAGAGAGGTTAAGTCTCAATGATATCATTTGAGCTTGCAGATCTAGTTCTGACTGAACTGGTCATTCCTTGTAAAACTTTGAAATGAACCAGTTTGAGTTGCGTTTCTTTCCACTGTGTCTTAAAGAATCTTTCCCCACACAGAAATTAGTTTGTTAAAACCTTGCTATGGACAGTGCTTTGTGGTAGAGACCATAGGGGTTCACAGTTGTATGCCTGGGGTGCAGGACAGTAAAAGTCCTGGCAGAAGGAACCCCCGCCCACATAGGCTATGGTAGTGTCACAAAGAGCTGAGAGTGGGAGAAAGAGTAGGGCTCTAGGCAGCACCCCATGACAATGTCAGGCAGGAAGTGGTACCAGCCTTTGGTGTAGCTGGTCCCAGCAGCCCACTCAAACCCCTACAGAGACACAAAAAATGGAGAGAACTTACCACTCACCGTGAACAGGTTCTAGAAGGAATTTCTACTATTGATAAGATAGAGGGGCTGGACTGAGAAAAATCTATGAAAAAAATCACCTCTTGAGTGAGAGGATACAATTATACAAATGTAAAGTAAAACAAGGGATCCATTCTATGTATTCAAAGAAATAATTACCAAGAACATAATGCTTGGTTGTCTTCAGACTGTACTATGTCATTACTAAATAATACATCAGATAATGAATTATAAAACATTTAGTTAATGAACATTCCAAGTAAAAGTAAAGGATTGATTCCTGATGGAGGAGATACGTATGTAAATAAAATACTTTGAACCTTTCCCAATTGTTTTCTTCTGACTCATAGACAATTACTGTGATAAATGATGTTTGCTTTTGTTTCTAGTTATAGATTAATGTTTAAAAATTTTTTTCTATACTGTCTCTGTTGTTTCTGACTCTTTTCATTGAAGTTTTTATATTCTCTCTGGTATTTTAAAAAGCATATTTTATTTTATTATTTTTATTAAACCAGCCAGAGGCACAGGACATATTTATTGAGATCATAAAATTCACAGAGAGTAATCAGTAAATTTTATTTTTGTAATCAGTGAATTTTATTTTTTGTTCTGTTTTTTTCCCCACCATCCCTTATATTCTCTTGTTCCTTTCCCTCTTCCTTCTCTATAACAATAGAAACCTCAGGATGTTTGTTGATGTATGTAAACATTTGTTTGAAGGTGGTTTACATTGTTTGTTATATAAAAGTCCAGTATTTGTTCTTATAGTTCTGATTTACTTTACTGCATATAGTTTTCTCCATTTTATGAAAATGGCTGCACTTCATTCTTTTTCACTGCTATATAACATTCCACGACACATATGTATCACACCAAATGATCTATTCATCCACTGAAGGAGAATTTAGGCTGCATCCTAGCTACTGTAAACAATGCTGCTGTGAACATTGTGGGCCATATGGTATTTTTTTATTGATGGTTTCATATGCTCCTTGGGCATCTATTATGATGCCCAAGGAGTGAGTTTGCCAGGTTATATGCTATTTCCATCCTTACCTTTCTGAGGTAAATCCAGATTGCTTACTGTAATGGTTGCATCAATTCACATTCCCACCAATTGTGTAACAGGGTTTCTTCTCTCCACATCCTTTTTAGTTCTCTCCAGCACTTGTTTAGAGTCTTTATGATAAGTGCCAGTCTCATGGGTATGAGAGGGCATCTCATTGTAGTTTTAATCTGTATTTCTTTTACTAGAAGTGATGAGGAACACTTTTTTATATGTCTTTTGACCTTCTGGATATCTTTTTGGTCAATTGTCTGCTCATATACACTTCCCATTTGCTAATTTGGCCATTTGTTTTTTTCATTGTTGAATTGTATGAATGTTTTATTATCTTGAATATTAATTCCTTATCAGTTCTATATTGTGTAACTATTTTCTCCCATTTGGTAGGGTGTCTATTTAATTTTTTTATACTTTCTTTCACTGTATAGAAGGCTTTTAGCTTGAGGTAATCCCAGTTGTTTGTTTTGGCTTTTAATTCCTTTGCGAAGAGTTGAGTTACCAAAAATATCTTTATTGTTGATATCATGGGATGTATAGCCAATATTTTCTTCCATGTACTTTTTTTTTTTTTTTTTTAAAGATTTATTTATTTATTTGTGCATACAGAACTGGGGTACAGGCCAGAGGCTCAGGGGCGGTGAGAGGCTTCACCAGAGACAGAGTGGGGAGCAGAATAGGCAGATCTACGAAGTACACTGCTGAGGGAAGCAGCGGGTGGGCCAGGAGAGGTCTGGCTCGCCATGTGGTCTCCTCCGGGGCAGGCTGCAGGCGGGAATTGAACTCATGAGGAAGTGGCTTCAGATTCTCAGTGCTGTGCTTTAACCCGCTGCGCCACCAGGGAGGGCCTCCATGTACTTTTTTTTACTGCATGTATTATGTCTAAATCTTTAATCCATTTGGAATTTGTGGATCTGTTAGACTTAAATTGTCTGCTGGCCACCATCTTGGTGATGCAGTTCTGCATTCAGATATATAGTCAGTCCAGACCAGTCAACTGGTTACAAGGCTACTTTCTGATTTAACAGGAACAACATGAGGGGGCTGCTTTACTGATGCAGGACTTTGCCGTCCCAGAGACCATCAGAGAAAGTACCTTGTCCATAAGATTGGAACATGAATAGGGGGCCTGTGGTATGGTTTTCCACCTCAATACCGAGTCATCAAGCAGACACCAGCAGATTTACCCTCCCCTACCCAACCAAACCCTAGATTCATATGCACATTTGTTCAGTTTCATCTATCCTTTATTTGTTCTCCTATGCTGCTTAGTGGATGCTGTATTATTATTATTATTATTCTGTCAATAAAAGCCCAGGGCTTAGTCTTTCAGCAGCGTCCTGTGTAGCTCCACAACAAAATTGGTCAGTGTGGTTTTGTTAACAGCAATTTATTTTTGTGTGTCTTGTTACCAAGTGATCCAACTTCATTCTTTATATATGGTTTTCCAGTTTTCCTAGCACCATTTATTAAAGAGAATGTATTTCTTATTTTAAGGTCATGAATGCTTTATCAACGATTAGGTGCTGGCATATGTGTAGATTTATTTCTGGATTTCAATAATGTTCCATTGATCTATGTACCTCCATGTTTGTGCCAGTACATGTTTTTTTTTTTTTTTTTTTTTTTTAAAGATTTATTTATTTGTACATACAAAACTGGGGTACAGGTCAGAGGCTCAGGGGCGGTGAGAGGCTTCACCAGAGACAGAGTGGGGAGCAGAATAGGCAGATCGACGAAGTACACTGCTGAGGGGAGCAGCGGGCGGGTCAGGAGAGGTCTGCCACGCCATGTGGTCTCCTCTGGGGCAGGCGGGAATCGAACTCATGCGGAAGTGGCTTTAGCTTCTTAATGCAGTGCTTCAACCCGCTGCGCCACCAGGGAGGGCCCAGTACATGTTGTTTTTAATACTGTTGATTTATAATAGAGTTTGAAGTCAGGTAATATGATACATTCATTTCTCTCTCTTTTTTCTTTTTCTTTTTTTTTAAGATTTATTTATTTATTCGTACAGAACTGGGGTACAGGCCAGAGATGCGGAGGGTGAGAGGATTCACCAGGGACAGAGTAGGGAGCAGAACAGGCAGATCGACGAAGTACACTGCTGAGGGGAGCAGCGGGCGGGTCAGGAGAGGTCTGCCACGCCATGTGGGCTCCTCCTTGGCAGGCGGGATCGAACTCATGCGGAAGTGGCTTTAGCTTCTCAGTGCTGTGCTTTAACCGCTGTGCCACCAGGGAGGGCCCTTCATTCTCTTTTTTCTAAAAAAATTATTTTAACTTAACAAGAGATGAGATAAAATAAAAACTGCAAAATGGGAAAGTCTTGGCATAGCTCTAATTTTACAAATCTGATCATGAAACTGAATGTAAATCTTAAAATGAGTTATTTGAAGAGAAAATACATAAATTATGAAAATTATTGTAACAGTAGTAAAGATGACAATCATTCGTTGTATACAGTGCCCAGAGCTCACTTTGAGGAAATATTGGTGTATCAAATGACAAAAAACAGAACTCTGTTGACAAAAAACAGAATTTATTGTTTCAGGTGATCAAAACATCCTAAAATAGAACTTTCAGGCATGATCCATGAAAGAAATGATTGAAAAACTGGACTTCATTAAAATTAATTGAATGAATGAATGAATAAATTTATTAATTTAAATAAATTAATTTCTGTTTTGGGAAAGATTCTGTCAAGAGGATGAAAGGACAAGCCACAGACTGGAAGAAAATACTTGCAAAGGACTTAACTGAAAA